ATATATATATATATATATATATATATATATATATATATATATATATATATATATATATATATATATATTTATTTATATATATATTTATTTATATATATATATATTATTATAAAATAAAAAGAAATACCCACTCGGGTATTTCGCTATTAATTTCCAGTTCTTCGTTTTCTGTCCTCTTGTGATGAGAGCATTCTGTTCTTATTTGTGGAGATATAACCCAGTTCCGAACATTTCCTGCTAAGGAGTTGAATGGACTGTTTACCTTTCCAAAGGTGGGTCCTGTATTAGGACATTATCTGCATGTTCCACTTGTTGTGTTCCTTCCGGAAGTTGATCATTAGCCATGGCTTTTATAAGCTGTTAAATAGTATGGGACTTAACACTCCTTATGGTGTTCCAAGCTCCACCTCCTTGGGGGGGGGGGTCCCAAGGTCCTCCTCCTTGGGGGGTCCCAAGTTCCACTTCCTTGCGGGGGGGGGGGGGTCCCAAGCTTTATATTCGCTGCTAACTGTAGGTAGTAACTGAGTAATTGTAACCTATCCACCGCTGCCCACTGGATGGGGGGCGGTGTGCAGGACAAACATATCAATTGTGACACTAGCTCTCCACATATGTCAGTTGCTTAATTTAGAACCTGTACTTTTGGTCGATCTCGAACCCATTGATGATGTCGTAAGGCACACAGCCCCCTCTGTGCAGTAACTTTGCACTAGACAACTAGAGCTATCACTAGACAACTAGAGCTATCACTAGATACCCAATAGCATAGGTCTCCGCCCTTGATTGACAATTAGTGGTCTTGTCCACTCTAGCTGTGCACTCAGGAGCAGTGTTCCACTGCCTGAGTACAACCCGACTCCCCACACAAGCCAGCCGGTAACCTCCCGCCAAAAATATAGTAAGGTGAACTAATTCTTTCGGTTTTTGAAAAGTTTAATGAAATGACTAAATTACTCACAATTTGTAATAATGTGTCATTTAGTAGTCTTGACATTAAAAATCTCAGATTAATAATTTTCCTAGTAACTGTAAGCAGTGAATACAAAATTTCTTGTAATTTCTGTACATTATTTGGTTCTTTAAAAGAACCAGATCATTAAGTTGACTGTATTAATACATAGAAAATTATTGAATGGGAGTATGTCATTGAAAGAAACGTAAAGGAATCTTCTTGTATTAAAAGCAGTGAATTGTGTAATATAAGCCCAGGATTATATGAATTATATATCTTAATAATTAGTCAGATTTGTGAAAACTAATAAATTGTGTAAATGGTGTTGTCAGCGACTTGTTGTGTGGAAGAGCAGACAAGTCGTGTTATCTGCGGCCAGTCTCCACAGGTCGCCTGATGTGTTTGTTCTTCCATTGTTCGTTACTTGATTACGGAGTGAAATATTTAACTTTATTTTTAATACGTAAGTTACGGAAGTCTACCGGCACGCACATCGGGTTGGCCGCGGGTGATCCGTGGAACACCGGGTTAATGAGTAAGGTAAGAGCCAGGTGAAGGCTACTGGCCCTCATAATGACGAGGCTGTGTTATTGATCCACGACCACCAGCCCGGGGGACAGTCCTGGGACCCGGGGGACAGTCCTGGGACCCGGGGGACAGTCCTGGGACCCGGGGGACAGTCCTGGGACCCGAGGGACAGTCCTGGGGCCTGGGGACAGTCCTGGGACCCGGGGACAGTCCTGGGGCCCGGGGGACAGTCCTGGGACCCGGGGGACAGTCCTGGGACCCGAGGGACAGTCCTGGGACCCGGGGGACAGTCCTGGGGCCCGGGGACAGTCCTGGGACCCGGGGGACAGTCCTGGGACCCGGGGGACAGTCCTGGGACCCGGGGGACAGTCCTGGGGCCCGGGGACAGTCCTGGGACCCGGGGACAGTCCTGGGGCCCGGGGGACAGTCCTGGGACCCGGGGGACAGTCCTGGGACCCGGGGGACAGCCCTGGGGCCCGGGGGACAGCCCTGGGGCCCGGAGACAGTCCTGGGGCCCGGGGGACAGCCCTGGGGCCCGGAGAATAGTCCTGGGGCCTGGGGGACAGTCCTGGGGTCCGGGGGACAGCCCTGGGGCCCGGGGACAGTCCTGGGACCCGGGGGACAGTCCTGGGACCCGGGGGACAGTCCTGGGACCCGGGGGACAGCCCTGGGGCCCGGGGAATAGTCCTGGGGCCTGGGGTACAGTCCTGGGGACCGGGGGACAGCCCTGGGGCCTGGGGGACAGTCCTGGGACCCGGGGGACAGTCCTGGGTCCGGGGGACAGTCCTGGGACCCGGGGACAGTCCTGAGACCCGGGGGACAGTCCTGGGACCCGGGGGACAGTCCTGGGGCCCGGGGACAGTCCTGGGACCCGGGGGACAGTCCTGGGGCCCGGGGACAGTCCTGGGTCCCGGGGGACAGTCCTGGGACCCGGGGGACAGCCCTGGGGCCCGGGGGACAGCCCTGAGGCCCGGGGACAGTCCTGGGGCCCGGGGGACAGCCCTGGGGCCCGGGGAATAGTCCTGGGGCCTGGGGGACAGTCCTGGGGTCCGGGGGACAGCCCTGGGGCCCGGGGGACAGTCCTGGGACCCGGGGACAGTCCTGGGGCCTGGGGGACAGTCCTGCGGTCCGGGGGACATCCCTGGAGCCCGGGGGACAGTCCTGGGGCCTGGGGGAGAGCCCTGGGGCCCGGGGGACAGTCCTGGGGCCCGGGGGACAGTCCTGAGCCCTGGAAGATAGTCCTGGGCCCCGGGGGGACACCTGCCCTCCGTCATCCACCTTGGTTGAGCCACTAGGATGGATGGAAGGGTTGACTGTGGCGCGGGGAAGCAAGTACACGAACTGATCGTCAGAAACATCGGGGCGCTTTGACTTGTGGGTGGATAAAGACATGGATAGTTGGACAGGATGGTGGATTGAAGCGAGTGGATGACACCGCGGATGAATGTTTTGGATGGATGAATATTTGAGCCCCAGGGTCACGTAGGAGTCTGCCAAACCTCCCGGAGGAAAGGTCAGAGGTCAAGGCTGCTCAAGTTTCCTTGTAAAAGTGAGACGCCGCGGTGCACCTTCACCCTCACACATCACCATTATGAGGGTCACTCCTCACTATTGACCAGCAGGTGATCACCACTGACCAATTATTTGAGTAAATAGGTAGACATGAAATGCGGGGCACAATAAAAATGCTTTGTCAACTGGTAAATTATAGAGAGTGTAAATGCTTATTTCTAAGATTATAACGACTCTATCAGGGAACAGCCGCGTCTAACTACGCAACCAAAACACGATACGTAACTAGCATGTTATAATCTCATTTGATCAAGAGAGCTATTGCTGTTATCAAAGCCAACAATATTATGAACCGTCTTTCAAACGCCCCCCCCCCCTCCCCAAGGCTACTGTGTCGAGTACTGAGAGGAACGTAACAGTGTTGCACAGTGACCAGCTCAGATCAATACTAAGAGGTTTAATCATGGTGCAGGAACGATGAGATGTGACAACGTTGCTCACTGCGGTAACAACAACATTTTTGGCATCACACAAAAGTTGTTTTATGAGTCAAGTCAATACGACGAGACGTTTGTGAGGACACCTGTCACGAGAACACTGGAGCACAGCGGACACCTGTCACGAGAACACCGGAGCACAGCGGACACCTGTCACGAGAACACCGGAGCACAGCGGACACCTGTCACGAGAACACCGGAGCACAGTGGACACCTGTCACGAGAACACCGGAGCACAGCGGACACCTGTCACGAAAACACCGGAGCACAGTGGACACCTGTCCCGAGAACACCGGAGCACAGTGGACACCTGTCACGAGAACACCGGAGCACAGCGGACACCTGTCACGAGAACACCGGAGCACAGTGGACACCTGTCACGAGAACACCGGAGCACAGCGGACACCTGTCACGAGAACACCGGAGCACAGTGGACACCTGTCACGAGAACACCGGAGCACAGCGGACACCTGTCACGAGAACACCGGAGCACAGCGGACACCTGTCACGAGAACACCGGAGCACAGTGGACACCTGTCACGAGAACACCGGAGCACAGCGGACACCTGTCACGAGAACACAGGAGCACAGCGGACACCTGTCACGAGAACACTGGAGCACAGCAGGAACAAGGTCAGCCCGGTCTGGGGGACGCCGCCGCCCAGCCTGAGAATGACGCTGGAGCAGACTGTCCTCCCACCTAACAGGTCGCATTGTTAAGGGAATCACTCCGTTAAAAAGCAACTTATTAATAACTATTAAAGCAGAGTAATATTGAGGTTTTGTGTGTATCGGGGAAGCAGCGGAAGTTAAGTATCATGGCCGCCTTAAGCTTCAGGTGACATTTGTGTAGTGAAGCTTGTAGTGAGTGAGAGTGCCGCGCCCTACATGGGGCGCCACCGTCGTCTGGTGCCCCAGCCGCTGTCACCCAGGCGGCTTGAGGTGTGTGCCTAGGGGCCAGGCCTAGGGCCCCACTAGCACCAAAAAATGCTTACGAAGACATGTCAATGTTAACACCCAGAACATGTGTCAAGAAGCAACTCTCACGGTGAGTTATGAACCTCAACTGGTGCTGTCAGCAGCTGTAGAGCAAGCTGTATGTATGGAGCAAGTGTACAAGCTGTATGGGGAGCAAGTGTCATGATGAAGGCGGCCTCAGTGAAGGTGCCCTCACCAGGCTCATGGACTCGGAAGCGCTTACGACCAACCTTGTCTTGTCACTACCGTCAACTGAGTGAAGCACTTCCTCTTCACTTGAATGGAAATTACGTTTAAAACTGTTGAATATTTACAATCCGGTGTGTTATAGTTATACCCTACAAGCCTCCGTATATTGAATATGAAGCAAACACTGCCTCCTAAGGGCGCTCTCAACTGGCTTGTGACTGGGGAGAAAACCTCGCTATGAAACATCAAGTTCTATTTCGTGTGTATTACTCTGCTTCCAGTCCTTCCATGTAACTAAAACTTAATATGACGTAAAGGAAGTTATAGATAACAAACAGCGAGAGATGAGCGTAGAGAGTGCGTATACAGCAGCTAAGGTCATACAGACAGGTGAGGTGGGTTGGCAGGACCTGTGGGAGTGTGGCACCACAGGCTGGGGTCTGATGTGTGAGTGTGGCACCACAGACTGAGGTCTGATGTGCTGAGTGTGGCACCACAGGCTGGGGTCTGATGTGTTGAGTGTGGCACCACAGGCTGGGGTCTGATGTGTGATTGTGGCACCACAGACTGAGGTCTGATGTGTTGAGTGTGGCACCACAGGCTGGGGTCTGATGTGCTGAGTGTGGCACCACAGGCTGGGGTCTGATGTGTTGAGTGTGGCACCACAGGCTGGGGTCTGATGTGCTGAGTGTGGCACCACAGGCTGGGGTCTGATGTGTTGAGTGTGGCACCACAGGCTGGGGTCTGATGTGCTGAGCGTGGCACCACAGACTGAGGTCTGATGTGTTGAGTGTGGCACCACAGGCTGGGGTCTGATGTGTTGAGTGTGGCACCACAGGCTGGGGTCTGATGTGCTGAGTGTGGCACCACAGGCTGGGGTCTGATGTATGAGTGTGGCACCACAGGCTGGGGTCTGATGTGTGAGTGTGGCACCACAGGCTGAGGTCTGATGTGTTGAGTGTGGCAACACAGGCTGGGGTCTGATGTGTGAGTGTGGCACCACAGGCTGGGGTCTGATGTGCTGAGTGTGGCACCACAGGCTGAGGTCTGATGTGTTGAGTGTGGCACCACAGGCTGGGGTCTGATGTGTGAGTGTGGCACCACAGGCTGATGTCTGATGTATGAGTGTGGCAACACAGGCTTACGTCTGATGTATTGAGTGAAGCTGCAAGCTATCGCTGGTTATCCTGTATCAGCTTAATTGAAACCTGACCCTTGAAACCGATCTCCATGATGGTTACTAGTTTTTTGTTGGGAATAAATATTATTTATAGGTATAGATTCCCACACGATCCTACTTCTTTGGTCAAGAGTCTTCACATGGTCGACTGGTTTGATTTCACGTAAATCTGCATGTTAAGCAAACATGTCCGCTAGGGAATGATAATGAAGTCTGATAAGAAGCAAGTCAGAACTACAGGAAAGGGCTTTTCTCTTCTCTTACATTTTTACCTTGTTTATAAATTTATTTATTCTTCCTGAAATTTTTTTTATTCTCATATTTTAAACTTATTCCTACACGTCCAATCTATATCTTACCTTACTCTTCTCCAACCTCCTCGCCTGTCGTCTTGCTCTCGTACCTTATATTTTGACTTACTCTAACCAGTCTTTCTTAATTATACGACTTGATAATGGCTCAAGACGAACCCTAACTTCGTCAATTAGTTTATTCTTAGATGTGTTAGTTGGCTGTGTGTTGTTCAGCTCCATTATTGTGAGTGTCAACACTGGCCTCCACATAGCACTAAGACCACCGACGTGTTGAAGGTGTTGAGTGTATTGACTCATCCAATCATACCTTTAGGATAAATGATGGACTAGGCCATCCAGGACAGCGGTGTAAACTCTAGATGGGAGCGAATTTGTGCTTCATATAACGCTCTACGTCCTCTTCTGTATCGAGGTAGATAATAGGTAGAGGATGAGGCTCAGGTGCTGTTAGTTTCTTGACTGCTGTGGTTGGCAGGTTCAGCACGTGGCTTCCTGAACAAACATAATTCCCACGATGTTCACCCTTGTCAAGTACCACCGAGAAGCAGCAGGAGCAATGAGGTGATCCAGCTTGCACATAGACACATGGCTAAGTCTTTTATGCATTGATTGATGACAAACTAGTAACATCAGTGATAATCACAACGATGCTACGGAAACTAGGCAGTCTTTACAAAATTATCAAATACAATCTTTATAGCATTGCAGAAACAAAATGCAAATATATGAATATTACATTCACTCACTGGTTCGAGTATACATACAGAATACATAGGATATAGAAGATGTGTACATAATATCATATACATGTGTACGAGTCACTGTGTGAGCTAAACTAGTATGTTCCAGTGTCCAGAGATGAAGCAGAACAAAGTGTTCCAGTGTCCAGAGATGAAGCAGAACAAAGTGTTCCAGTGTCCAGAGATGAAGCAGATCAAAGTGTTCCAGTGTCCAAAGATGGTGGAGAACAAAGTGTTCCAATGTCCAGAGATGAAGCAGATCAAAGTGTTCCAGTGTCCAGAGATGAAGCAGATCAAAGTGTTCCAGTGTCCAGAGATGAAGCAGATCAAAGTGTTCCAGTGTCCAGAGATGAAGCAGATCAAAGTGTTCCAGTGTCCAGAGATGAAGCAGAACAAAGTGTTCCAATGTCCAGAGATGATGCAGATCAAAGTGTTCCAGTGTCCAGAGATGAAGTAGATCAAAGTGTTCCAGTGTCCAGAGATGAAGCAGATCAAAGTGTTCCAGTGTCCAAAGATGAAGCAGATCAAAGTGTTCCAGTGTCCAAAGATGGTGGAGAACAAAGTGTTCCAATGTCCAGAGATGAAGCAGATCAAAGTGTTCCAGTGTCCAGAGATGAAGCAGAACAAAGTGTTCCAGTGTCCAGAGATGAAGCAGAACAAAGTGTTCCAGTGTCCAGAGATGAAGCAGAACAAAGTGTTCCAGTGTCCAGAGATGAAGCAGAATAAAGTGTTCCAGTGTCCAGAGATGAAGCAGAGCAAAGTGTTCCAGTGTCCAGAGATGAAGCAGAACAAAGTGTTCCAGTGTCCAGAGATGAAGCAGAATAAAGTGTTCCAGTGTCCAGAGATGAAGCAGAACAAAGTGTTCCAGTGTCCAGAGATGAAGCAGAACAAAGTGTTCCAGTGTCCAGAGATGAAGCAGAACAAAGTGTTCCAGTGTCCAGAGATGAAGCAGAACAAAGTGTTCCAGTGTCCAGAGATGAAGCAGAATAAAGTGTTCCAGCATCAATGTTGTAGAACACAAATAAGTCCCATTAACGTTATGTATCAGTAAAAATCAGTAGAAGACAGGGGTTCGGCCCTGCTCACTGGGCACTCCCAAGCTTACACCATAAACAGGTTCGAATCCTCATCACAGCTACTACAGATTTTCTCAGTGTTATAGTGGGGTTGGGCCTATTACGTTACACTATGTGTTGCAAGTGTTGTCATGTATACCGGAATTGTTGCCATGTATAACGGAGCTGTTACCGTGTGTAACGGAGCTGTTACCGTGTGTAACGGAATTGTTGCTATGTATAATGGAACTGTTGCCATGTATAACGGAACTGTTGCCATGTATAACGGAATTGTTGCTATGTATACCGGAACTGTTGCCATGTATACCGGAATTGTTGCTATGTATAACGGAACTGTTGCCATGTATAACGGAGCTGTTACCGTGTGTAACGGAATTGTTGCTATGTATAATGGAACTGTTGCCATGTATAACGGAACTGTTGCCATGTATAACGGAATTGTTGCTATGTATAATGGAACTGTTGCCATGTATAACGGAACTGTTGCCGTGTGTAACGGAACTGATGCCGTGTGTAACGGAACTGTTGCCATGTGTAACGGAACTGTTGCCGTGTGTAACGGAACTGTTGCCGTGTGTAACGGAACTGTTGCCGTGTGTAACGGAACTGTTGCCATGTGTAACGGAACTGTTGCCGTGTGTAACGGAACTGTTGCCATGTATAACGGAATTGTTGCTATGTATACCGGAACTGTTGCCATGTATACCGGAATTGTTGCTATGTATAACGGAACTGTTGCCATGTATAACGGAGCTGTTACCGTGTGTAACGGAATTGTTGCTATGTATAATGGAACTGTTGCCATGTATAACGGAACTGTTGCCATGTATAACGGAATTGTTGCTATGTATAACGGAACTGTTGCCATGTATAACGGAACTGTTGCCGTGTGTAACGGAACTGATGCCGTGTGTAACGGAACTGTTGCCATGTGTAACGGAACTGTTGCCGTGTGTAACGGAACTGTTGCCGTGTGTAACGGAACTGTTGCCGTGTGTAACGGAACTGTTGCCGTGTGTAACGGAACTGTTGCCGTGTGTAACGGAACTGTTGCCGTGTGTAACGGAACTGTTGCCGTGTGTAACGGAACTGTTGCCGTGTGTAACGGAACTGTTGCCATGTGTAACGGAACTGTTGCCATGTGTAACGGAACTGTTGCCATGTGTAACGGAACTGTTGCCGTGTGTAACGGAACTGATGCCGTGTGTAACGGAACTGTTGCCGTGTGTAACGGAACTGTTGCCGTGTGTAACGGAACTGTTGCCGTGTGTAACGGAACTGTTGCCGTGTGTAACGGAACTGTTGCCATGTGTAACGGAACTGTTGCCGTGTGTAACGGAACTGTTGCCGTGTGTAACGGAACTGTTGCCGTGTGTAACGGAACTGTTGCCGTGTGTAACGGAACTGTTGCCATGTGTAACGGAACTGTTGCCATGTGTAACGGAACTGTTGCCATGTGTAACGGAACTGTTGCCGTGTACTCACCTAGCTGTGCTTGCGGGGGTTGAGCTTTGGCTCTTTGGTCCCGCCTCTCAACTGTCAATCAACTGGTGTACAGATTCCTGAGCCTACTGGGCTCTATCATATCTACATTTGAAACTGTGTATGGAGTCAGCCTCCACCACATCACTTCCTAATGCATTCCATTTGTTAACTACCCTGACTCTGAAAAAAATCTTTCTAACGTCTCTGTGGCTCATCTGGGTACTAAGTTTCCACCTGTGAACTTTTGTTCGTGTTCCACCCGTGCTAAAGAGTTTGTCTTTGTCCACCCTGTCAATTCCCCTGAGAATTTTGTAGGTGGTTATCATGTCTCCCCTTACTCTTCTGTTTTCCAGGGTTGTGAGGTTCAGCTCCCTTAGCCTTTCCTCGTAACTCATTCCTCTCAGTTCCGGAACCAGTCTGGTGGCATACCTCTGAATCTTCTCTAACTTCGTCTTGTGTTTAACTAGGTATGGACTCCAGGCTGGAGCTGCATACTCCAGGATTGGTCTTACATAAGTGGTATACAGGGTCCTGAACGATTCCTTACACAAGTTTCTAAAGGCAGTTCTTATATTGGCCAGTCTAGCATATGCCGCTGATGATATCGTTTTGATGTGGGCCTCTGGGGGCAGGTTCGGTGTGATATCGACCCCAGATCTTTCTCTCTGTTTGACTCTTGTGGGATTTCACCTCCCAGATGGTACCTTGTGTTCAGCCGTCTGCTCCCTTCGCCTAATTTCATTACTTTACACTTTCCTGAGTTGAACTTTAGCAGCCATTTTCTAGACCATTCCTCCAGTTTGTCCAGGTCGTCCTGTAGTCTCTGTCTTTCTTCATCTGGTTTGATTCTTCTCATAATTTTTGCATCGTTAGCAAACATTGAGAGGAATGAGTCTATACTCTCTGGAAGGTCGTTTACATATACTAGAAACAGGATGGGTCAGAGTACAGAGCCCTGTGGAACCCCGCTGGTGACATCTCGCCACTCTGATGCCTCTTCCCCTCACCGTTACTTGCTGTTTCCTATTGCTTAGATACTCCCTTATCCACTGGAGCACCTTACCTTTTACTCCTGCCTGCTGCTCCAACTTTTGTAACAGCCTTTTGTGAGGTACTGTGTCAAAGGCTTTCTGGCAGTCCAAGAAAATGTAGTCTGCCTACCATTCTCTTTCCTTCCTAATTTGTGCTGCTTGGTCATAGAATTCTATTAGGACTGTGAGGCATGATTTACCATCTCTGAACCCATGCTGGTGGTGTGTTATAAAGCTGTTTCCCTCCAGATGCTCTACGAGCCTTTTCCTCACAATCTTCTCCATCACCTTGCATGGTATACAAGTTAGGGAAACTGGCCTGTAGTTCAGTGCCTCTTGCCTGTCACCCTTTTTGTAAATTGGGACTACATTAGCTGTCTTCCAGCTTTCCGGAAGGTCTCCCGTTTCCAGTGACCTGTTATACACCATAGAGAGTGGCACACTTAGTGCTTCTGCACCTTCTTTTAGAATCCACGGTGAGATTCTGTCAGGCCCAATAGCCTTTGACACATTCAGCTCCAACAGATTCCTTTTGACCTCATCACTGGTGAGGTAAATTTTCTCCAAGGTTGTTCAGTTTGCCTCCTCATTTAGTGCAGGTACCTCTCCTTGTTCTATTGTGAAGACCTCCTGGAATCTCTTGTTGAGTTCTTCACACACCTCTTTGTCATTCTCTGTGTATCTGTTCTCCCCTTTTCTCAGTTTCATCACTTGTTCCTTCACTGCTGTTTTCCTCCTGATGTGGCTGTGGAGCAGTTGGGTTGTTTTTGTTGGAGTTTTGGTTGGGTCTTAGCTTTACTCGCGATGTCATTTTCATACTGTCTCTTTGCTTCCCTCCTCACTCTGATGTACTCATTTCTGGCCCTCTGGTGTTTTGCTGTTCCTGTAGTTTCGCCATGTTCTTTTACTCAATTGCTTTGCTGCCGCACATTCTTGGTTGAAACATGGATTCTTCTGTTGCTTTTCATTTTTCACTTTTTGGACTAGGATAAACCTGTCTGCAGCTTCATGACACTTCTGAGTGACATAATCCATCATATCCTGTACAGTCTTTTCTCTGAGTTCTGTTTCCCATGGTATTCCCATTAGGAAGTTCCTCATCTCGTCATATTTTCCTCTTCGGTAATTTAGTCTTTTACTCCATACGTGTGTAACGGAACTGTTGCCATGTGTAACGGAACTGTTGCCATGTGTAACGGAACTGTTGCCATGTGTAACGGAACTGTTGCCATGTGTAACGGAACTGTTGCCATGTGTAACGGAACTGTTGCCATGTGTAACGGAACTGTTGCCATGTGTAACGGAACTGTTGCCATGTGTAACGGAACTGTTGCCATGTGTAACGGAACTGTTGCCGTGTATTTTAGAATGAAAATTAATGCAATATTGTTATAGCAATAATAATAATCTAATAAATACACTATTGCATTAATAAAACAATGCAATAATGTCGTATTACAATGGAATATTTGCAAATAATCCATTAAGAAAAATTGTATGATTTTAAAAGAAATAGTTTTTTCATTATGGACTCGTAGAGATAAGCTCCATACAGACCAAGGATATTTTTCTTGGGGAAATTGAGTCAAACTTCCCCATTGTAAAGTTTAATTACTTCGTGTGAGGAAATATTAGAGATACAGCGAGTAATTTCCAGGAGAGAATGTGGCACACGGGCCGGAAATTGTTTCATCGAGGAGTTTGTTGAAAACTTCGTTATAACTTTGATTAATGCGGCGAGCTGGCCTGGAAGTGGGTTATGTTTTGCTGCAATTGGCGGAGGATTTTTAGTGGTTTAGTTTTAATGGAGGATTCATCAGAAAGGTTATCAGGACGAGATTTATGTGTAATTACCTAAGTGTAATTACCTAAGTGTAATTACCTAAGTGTAATTACCTAAGTGTAGTTACAGGATGAGAGCTACGCTCGTGGTGTCCCGTCTTCCCAGCACTCTTTGTCATATAACGCTTTGAAACTACTGACGGTCTTGGCCTCCACCACCTTCTCACTTAACTTGTTCCAACCGTCTACCACTCTATTTGCGAAGGTGAATTTTCTTATATTTCTTCGGCATCTGTGTTTAGCTAGTTTAAATCTATGGCCTCTTGTTCTTGAAGTTCCAGGTCTCAGGAAG